TAAACCTATGCGGTCGCATAGGTTATGCCTATGCGGTCGCATATGTATAATTTTTCCCGAATTTTGCAGTTTCCTTATATGATTGCAACTCCTTTGGTAACCTAATTTGGACGGGTTTAAATAGCAACAAGATGTCCAGAAGCTGCACGAACGACTTGAGAGGCAAAAACATTCATCTTGGAGTGGAATTGAAGGCAAGAAAAAGAATTGATGCGAGATTTACAAGATTTCTTTAATTTTTGATAACCCGGTGATGTATTTTATTCATACTTTGTTAGATTTCGTTATTTTTATCATGATAGGCTAGATTTTTGCAACTAGGTGATCGATGAACCATGTAATTATTATTAAACTTGCTATTTCATAATTTTGAATTATTAGTTTGATGAGATATTTGAATGGATTATATTGGTTTATTTATTTTCACAATTAATGTGCACTTGATTTGTGTGAACTTGGTGGTTTAATTCTGAATTTGAGAAAATTAGATTAGACTCGACATATATAATTCATCATAGGATCCGATAGGGGATAGAAATATACTCATATGCCCTATGTAAATCTTTAATTGCTCACAAAAAGATTATATGCGTTCTTGTAAAATTGCATCCGTCATAGAGATATAGGCTGATGATTTATGAGAATAGGTTCAATACATCTCGAGAGAGATTATTGAATAGATTTAGTAGTATTGATTTATCAAATTCTTATTGAATTATCAAAATTGTGAAATTAGGGTTTAATAAGTAATTATTTGGGGATTCGTAATCCTAGTGCATTCGTTTTACATAGATTTTCATAAATTGACAATACATTTCATTTATTTTTCATAACATTTCGTAATTGAATCATTAGTTAAGTGAATTTAAGTAATTAGAGTTTTTCAATTTGGGGATTTTCCTCAATTTAGGATTTGATTTGAAATTAGGGTTTTTCAATTTGAAAATTTCTTCCAAAATTAGGGTTTTTGATCCCAAAATTCATTTTAACTCAATTAGTTTCGGTTAAAACTAAAATAAGTAAAATTGAATTACTCTTTCTCTGTGGGACGATACTCGAACTTCTAAAGTCCATTTTATTATTTGTCACGACCCGTACACTTGCAGTAATTTAAATCGAAAGAAATATTTCGAGAACACTCTCGAGTGTAGGACATCTAACATGCCAATCCTAACCTTAAAGATACCATGAAACTGGTACAAACTTCGAATTTGGACAGTAAAGGAAGAATTCTTTTTAAAATTTATAGCTTCTTTTCAATTTTATAACCAACATAGAAAATTTGCAAAAAAAGCATTTTTTGAACACATTTTTAAGCATTTATTCTTCCAATAAAATAATTTTGCAAGTGAACAAATAATATTTTCCTATTTTTAACCACATGTTCTTGAAAAAAAAATTAATTTTGACAAAATCTGTAGTAGAAAGAGTCTACATGAAACAGGTTTTAAATATACAACTTGAAAGTCCGAAAAATTCCAGAATACAACCTTCCAAGCAGAAACGGACTAACCTCAAGCGTAGGACCGTAGGTATCCGTAACCGGTATGGGTAACAGCGCCTTAACGATTCTTTTGCTCTGTCGCTAGTTGATTAGCTTGATTAATAACTCTTAACAAGGGAAGGAACCCACAGGATGGCTTCCAGCCGTAAGGCTACTCTTTCCTTTAAGAAAGAGAATAGAATATGAACCCCAAGGAGTTCTTTCCTTTTCACCTCGGAATATTCAAAAAAAGGGGCCGAAGGAAAGCTGATCAAGATGAGTCTCTCTTCCAAGGATGCAATAAGGCATTCTCTGGTCGAATCAAGCATCTAATGACTACCAAACAACTGGAAGGCAAAGGAAGATAAAAAGAGTGCTAAAAAGTAAACATGAACCTTTTACTTTACTTTCTTAATATAACTGAAAATTTTCACCTGTGTGCTGGATCAGAATAAGGGCTAAACAGCAATCAATAAAGGGGCAAAAACTAAAGGGAGTTGAGCAGTGAAGAAGCCTACACACAAGACCACGTGAAACAATACATTAAAGTTTAGTCGTCATGCATAACATACGGAATGCTGCCTAAACGGAAACATTTCTTTTTTATAAATTTGAGACAGAGGGTTGCTATCCATTCAGAATTCCGTAGGTGGCTTCAATCGTACAAGTCTCTTGATTCTCTCTTTATCCGTGTTCTCCAGCAGCCCCTTCAAAAAAGAAGTGTGGCAATTTCATAAGCAAATATACTGCTTGATCTCCACAAAATGAAATGATGGACAGCAAAGTGCAAAGGTGTAGCAAAAATAAATGTCTACTCACTGGCCAACTTTAATCGATATCAAAGCAAACCTTTTAATGCAATATAGGAGAGACATTATTTAATATAGTTCCAATTTTAAGGTTCATCTTAGGAAACTTAATCAGGTTAAATTTAATAGCTTTTATTAGATATTTGCTACTTAGAATAGGCTCTCTGAAACCCTATATAGAGGGGGCTTTTGCAATGTAATTGAAACAAGCTTTGATACTGAAATAAACAGATTTTCTTCCCCTGTTACTCTCTGTTCTCTCCCTCTTCTTCCCTCTTTTCAGCATCCTTTCTCTTCTTCTCTTCCGTTCCCCTTTCAATTTAGTAGCACAGCTCAAATTGTTTCCTTTGTCCAACAAAGCCATTTCCATCCAATCTATACGCGCACACACCCCACCACCTTCCACAATCCATCCAAGCCTTATAACCATCTTTCACCAAAACACCAAACATATATAAGAGGCAGCAGCAGTAGTTTCCTAGTTGTTAGTTAATTGTTAGCGAGGGAGAGAGAGAGAGAGAATATCGTCGAATAGTACTGCTCTTCAAAATGTGTGCTACTGTTTTTGTTGCTATTCTTTAAATAAATTTCCCAATAAATCCAACACCACGCCAATATAACCTAGCCCATTCACCATACAGGTCCAACTCACTTAAATACTCTCGGGGAAAAAATCACACTTCATTCATTAAGTATAGGCCTGTGCAAATTTAAATACTCTCGAGTAATATCATGCATTGTATAAAGTGGATAAAAATAAGTTGATTTATCGTACAAAACTATATTATTATTATTATTATTATTATTGAGAAATGAACCACTTTTCTAAAAAATAGGATCAGTTTTGATGTAGCGAAAACTTATAGGAATGAATAAAATCTCACGATAAAGCTCAAACTCGATGATTAGCTCATGAATACCAAAAAAGAGAGAACCATTTTGAGAAACTTCTCAAGATTTTTCATTATACTCAAATTTAACTCAACGTCATACGACTTATAACTCGTATTTAAAACAGTAAATAAAATATGGCTCACAACTAAACTTCTACATAATGATAAACTTCTAGATAACGACTAACTCAAGATAATCATGAGAATTAAAAATAACGACCAACTCTAAATGAAATTAAAATTCTAATCTTATTAAAATTAATAAAATTATCCAGAAAATCAAAAACATGTTTTCAGACACATAATGATGGATTGGCCCCAAAAAAGTCGAACATCTAGTCGAAGCTCTATGTCTTGTCTATTGGGTTGTTTGCACCCAAAATGGACCCAAAACTCTTCGAAAACGGACACTTCGAAAAATTACATCAATCGACGCCAATTCCGTTTCTGTATGAAATCTTCCTTTGACGTCGATTCAAGCCATCACTCTAGAATATTGTTATTAGGCTGTGTTTTGTCGATTGTTAACTTTTACCTAGTGTGCACAGTGCAACTATTTCATTAGTTTCATTAGATTAACAATGTAACACAAAAATATAAATGCACGTGTTTAGTACATGATCACAAACTCTAAAACAAAATCCTCGAATGCTCTACACTATATAATGTCATTTCTAGCATTCGCAAGATCACCAAAGAACTTCTTGGCATTGCATACCAAGCTCTCGAGTGTAGGATGTCTAACATGCCAATCCTAACCTTAAAGATACCACGAAACTGGTATTGAGTTGCATATCTACCCCGACCTACCCTTACGAGTAAATTGTTAGGAATTCAATAAAGGCGTGGAACCATGTTGCCACTCTCATTGGATTCGAGTGTGCAGAAAGTAAGATAAAAACTATTAAGTGTCACATTTCAGAGATATCATATTCAACGGCTAAGGATACAACCATTGTTTTATAACTCACAAACACATTAAGATAAGTTGTTGGGAGTACAAACTTCTAATTTGGACAGTAAAGGAAGAGTTCCTTTTAAAATTTATTGCTTCTTTTCAATTTTAACCAACAAAGAAAATTTGCTAAAAAGCATTTTTTGAACTCTTTTTTTTCACACTCATTTTTAACCATTCATTCTTTCAATAAAATAATTTTGCAAGTGGGCACATAATTTTTTCCTATTTTTAACCGCATATTCTTGAAAAAAATTAATTTTGACAAATCTATTATGAAAAAATCTACATGAAACAGGTTCTAATTATACAACTTGAAAGTCCGAAAAATTCAAGAATACAACCGTCCAAGCAGAAATGGACTAACCTCAAGCGTAGAACCCATAGGTACCAGTAACAGGTACGGGTAATGGGGGCATAGCGATTCTTTGCTCTGATTAGCTTGATTAATAACTCTTAGCAAGTGACTCTTTCCTTTAAGAAAGAATAGACTATAAACCCCAAGGAGTTCTTTCCTTTTCACCTTGGAATATTCAGAAAAAAAGGAGTCGAAGGAAAGCTGATCAAGAGAATGAGTCTTTCTCTTCCAAGGGCGGATCCAGAATTATTCTTTAGTGGAGATGAGACGGAAAATTGGCTAAAATAAATTGTGAAAAAAACCAAAAAAATCTGAAAATTTAAATTTAACAAGGTCGAATTGAAGGTTTTCGAAAATACATTGAGGGCAGCCGACCCCACTCATCCTTTAGTGGGTCCACCCCTACTTCCAAGGATGCACTAAGGCATTCTCGGGTCGAATCAAGCATCTAATGACTACCAAACAACTGGAGGGCAAAGGAAGATAAAAAGAGTGTAAAAAGTAAAAATAAGCCTTATTACTTTTCTTTCTTAATATAACTGAAAAATTTCACCTGTGTGCTGGTTCAAATAAGGACTAGACAACAATCAATAAAGGTGAAAAAACTAAAGGGAGTTGAGCAGTGAAGAAGCCTACACACAAGACCACTTGAAACAATACATTAAAGTTTGTTCATCATGCATAACATACGGAATGCTGCCTAAACGGAAATGTTTCATTTTTATAAATTTGAGAGAGAGGGTGGCTATCCATTCAGAATTCCGTAGGTGGCTTCAATCGTACAAGTCTCTTGATTCTCTCTTTATCCGTGTTCTCCAGCAGCCCCTTCAAAAAAGGAGTGTGGCAATTTCATAAGCAAATATACTACTTGATCTCCACGAAATGAAATGGGCAGCAAAGTGCAAGGGTGTAGCAAAAATAAATGTCAACTCGCTTACTGGCCAGCTTTCATCGATATCAAAGCAAACCTTTTGATGCAATATAGGAGAGATTTTACTTAATATAGTTTCCAATTTTAAGGTTTATGTTAGGAAACTTAATCATGTTTAATTTAATAGCTTTTATTAGATATTTGCTACTTAGAAGAGGATCTTTGAAACCCTATATTGTGGGGACTTTTGCAATGTAATTGAAACAAGCCTTAATAATGAAATAAACAGATGTTCTTCCCCTATTACTCTCTGTTCTCTCCCTCTTCTTCTCTCTCTTCAGCCTCCTTTTCTATCCTTCTCTTCCCTTTCCCCTTCTCCTACAATTCTCCTATTGCGTTCGGCGTCAATTTGGTAGCACAGCTCAAATTGTTTCCTTTGACCAACAAAGTAGTTTCCATCCAATCCATACGCACACCACTGCCTTCCACAATCGATCCAAGCCTTATAACCATCTTTCACCAAAACACCAAACATAAATAAGAGAGGCAGCAGCAGTAGTTTCTAGTTATTTGTTAATCGTTAGAGAGGGGGGAAGAGAGAGTAGTCGAATAGTACTGCTCTTCAGAACGTGTGCTACTGTTTTTGTTGCTATTCTTTAAATAAATTGCACAATAAATCCAACACCACGCCAATAACCTAGCCCATTCACCATACAGGTCCAACTCACTTAAATACTCTTTGGGAAAAAATCACAATTCAAGCATTAAGTAGAGGCCTCGCAAATTTAAGGGAAAAATTTTTAACTTTCTAGAAATCAGATGGTAATTACATTTTGTTAATTAAATAATTTTTGCAAATTTAAGGGAATAATTTTTAACTTTCTAGAAATCAGATGGTAATTACATTTTATTAATTAAATAAAAAATTATTTATACAATAATATCATTTTCTCTCCGGTATCCATCCTGCCACCGTCTCCTTTTATAGTCGTCGACATCCACTTTCACAATCATCGGCATCCAAATAACTTAGCCCAAGGGAAGATAAAATCTAAAGAGATCGTCGACGACTGAACATCTTCTTCAGCGACCAACTGATAACCACTCAGTTCATCCCCCACTCAAATAGTAGAGAGAGATAGAATCATAGTGGCAGTTCAACAACTATGACCTATATAACGTGACATGTAACCTTTGAACTATAACACGTGACCAATTAATATTGACATGTGAACATAGGTGACTTATATAATATGACGTATAACCTATGAATGGTGACCCGTGACCTGTAAACTATAATATGTGACCCATTAATATTTGACCTATGAACATAAATCATTGATCTGTGACCAATTCTATTTGGTCTATGAAATGTGAATAATGATCTGTGACATTCAAAAATTGTACAAAGACATGTAACATGTTATCAGGTCACATGTCATAGGCCATCGTGCACAAGTTAAGGGTCATTGCATAAATATTACAGATTATCTATTGTACTGGTGACAAATTATTTATTGGTCACAGATTAACCCAATCTACTGGTCACAAACCGTGTTTATACAGATCCGACTCAATCCAAAACTAGCACCATACCCACCAGAACCACCACTTGCACCACCATCGCCAACACTACCACCACCTCAAAATCCACCACAAAACTACCTCAAAAACCAACATAAAACAACTACCAAAAATCACAATCTCCACCTCCACCACAACTACAATCACCACCCCAACAAAAAAACTCCAAACCCTCCTCTACACACTACCACCACAATCACTACCGCAATAAAAACCCAAATCTTGATACCGGCATTTCTCTAAGACTCAATTGCTTCTGGAACTCCTTGTTGCAATTTATCTTCCATTGATCGTTGGAGAGTATGGGTAGTAGAGAGACGTCGGAGAATAAATTTGGGTAGAGATAGAGAGAGAGATAGTGAGGAATGAGAGAAATTTTGGCCCTGTTTGCGAGGGATTTTGAGAATTGATTTTTTGACTGTTAGAAGAAAAGTGAGATCCACCTGTGAGAGAAGTAGTAAAAAATTACTGCTGGAATAGTGAAATAACGATCAAAAAATCAATTTTTTGGGGTAAAAAAATCCCTCCCAAACAGGTTGTTTAATTTTAATTGAATACCTGAGTTTTGCTTAAGTAAACTTCACACTTAATTTTCAATTGTCATCTTTAAATATCTGGTGCTGTGTAATTTCCACATACTCTTCCCACAACCACCAAACAGCCCACTAAGTCGATTTACCCTAACAATAATCAATTAGCCCAACCAGCAACGTCCAATAACCATACATATAAACCATTACATGTTACTTGATCCTAAAACTTTAGTCCATCATCTAACCATAAATCCAGCCCACCCAAACAAAATAACCTAAAGCCCAACAGAGTGCATCCACATTTCCTAAAATAGTCCACTTCCTAACCTTCCTTCTCCACAACCGTAATACTAAATCTGCTGCCCCTTGCCTGCAAGCCACATTCATTGCCAGTACCTCAACCATCGTCCCCGCCACCTTTCACCAGTAGGGCCACCGCCATCATCTTCGATTCCTTCCTACACACAACATTCATGTTGCCGATGTACAATCTGTCTTCCATAGCTCAAATTTTAATTGCCCATTTTTGCTATTGTCGCGAAAAAATCACCAACCATCATCGGTAACTTTCGAGAAAATCCAACCGCTATTGCCAATACATAATACCCAAATCCACTTGGCCACACCACCCACAACCTTCAATCGTCCCAGTAAAATCTACAATGTTTGCTAGATCCTCGTACTCTCTGCCGATCAGAGATATTGGAAGTTGCCTGTCCACTCGTAACATTCATTTGGATTGGAACAAGAATATAGATTGCACCATCAACGGGTCGATTTGCATCTTGAGAGGTATATCGGTTATGTTATTTGAAAGCTCCATTTTCTATTTAAATGTTGGTGGCCAATGAAAAAAATGTCATACTGCATACAATTAATATCACGACTTTTCCACCTATAGCACACCCCTAGGTTAGTGCGATAGTGTGCATTCATGTTCTCCTTTCCCTCCAATTATCCTTTATCTAGACACTTTGTAGGGGACATTCATTCTCCTAGACAAGTTGTATTACAATTATGGGACTTTGATGGCTTCACTGGATTCGATTCATTTCTTGATTGGCTTGAAAATCTTGAAAATTTCTTCATCTATCACAAGTTGAGTGACTCATGTATAATTTGTTATGCTCATACGTCATTGGTAGGTTCTGTTAAGAATTATTGGAGATCACATTCGTGTATTCATCTAGGTCTACACACTATCACTTTGTAGGATAAGATGAAACGAATCCTGAGTAATAAATATGCTCATGTGTATTATCACACTCAACTGTTAAATCAATTCATTTTGTACTGTAGGCAATGTACGTCCATTGTTACTTCGAAGAGTTATTGAATAATAGTAATATTTACGAAGCTTCTCATCTCATAGCTTCTAGGATTATGATAGTTCGAATTCGGAAATCTTGTCTAATGATATTCTTGCATTCCAATACTTAGATGATGCTTACCATCAGGCTAACCTATGGAACATATCCTTTCATCTTTGTCAAGCATGTCACAAGCTAGATCTACCACCACAATCTCAACATGCACCTTCTGAGTCTACTTGTGTTACTCTTGAAGAAGAAATCGAGGTTTCTATTGTGGAGCCAATTGAATATTATGATAACGAGGATGAGGAATTAACCATAGTGTTGCCATCTCAATCAAACAGTCCCCATTTCCTCGTTTCCTTGCAAAAGTTGATCTTGCCTGATTTTTTGTGTAACTCTTAACATTGACTTTTATATAGTTTTACCTCCACTTTGTGATGCTTCAAGGGTTAACACGTTTTCCATCGACATCCAATTGTTACATACTAATTAACGTCATATTAATTTAGCTCTATTCTTTATTACCTTTTATGCCGAGTTTCAAAACCAAATTGTTTTCAATCATGAAACTTATGAGTTGCAATAGACTCGAAATTTAGGCACAAATACCTCCATGACGAATTTTATGCCTTGTGTGTTTCTTAGTATGGTTTCCAAAACATGTAGAGATAGAATTGGATCACTCACTTGACCTTAATCTATTTAACTGGCCAATACACTTAAATGAAGGTTATGTTTTCAATATAGCATAATTGTTTACTTGGGGAACATTTGAGCCACCGGTGTTACACTCATTTGTTTCTACAGGTTAGTCTATTGAACTAGCGTTTTGTGTTCCTCAAGTGAATTCTGTGGTGACATTTGTAGATGAGTCGCACGTGATGTTGCTTCTTGGAGTTCCTTATCGCTGTTTGGGTAAAAGGAAAGATCGTCCCCCTTGGTCAGATCAGATGTTTGAGATTGATATTCAGATTCAGTTGCTGTTACATGATAGGCTTCGTTATCTGGTCAGGAAGAAAGATCGCCCTACTTGGTTAAGAAGCTATAGTCTATCTTGCTAGAATCGAGTTCTCTCAGACGGAGAAAAATGATATAATATAGGAGAGATTTTATTTAATATAGTTTCCAATTCTAAGGTTTATATTAGGAAACTTAATTAGGTTTGATTTAATAGCTTTTATAAGATATTTACCATTTAGAATAGGATCTTTGAAAACCTATATAAAGGGGGCTTTTGCGATGAAATTCAAACAAGCTTTGATAATGAAATAAACAGATTTGCTTTCCCTATTTCTCTCAGTCCTCTTCCTCTTCTTCTCTCTTTTCCCCCTCCTCTCTCTTCTACTCTTCTATTTCCCCTTCTACAATTCTCCTATTGTACCCGGCATCAACGTTTTTGTTCATTATAGCCACAAATAGGGAAATTTTTCTAATGTGAAAGTTATTTCACAGCTTTTTATTAAACAAGAAACTTTTGTTTGTACCCGTGAATGGTAGAAACGAATCCACATATATTGCAAGCTACAAAATGCTCCATAGTCTTCTATAACTTCGAAACTAAAGAGTCAATAAAGCTCAGAAAGAGCTGAAACTCTGCAAGATGATCCAGTTATTTTCTAATAAGCGATCAAGCAAGTACAGGAAAGGAATTGACTAAGTTCATTTGAATTCACTTATGCTAATAAGTGATAACAGTTGCAAAAAAGAAAACAATACACTGAAGACCATCTCAATGAGATTCAGGATGCTAAGAATCTTCATCGTTACAGTTATATAGAACCTGATATAATTTAATTTTTAGTTGATAAATGAAAGAAATATAACTCACCTTCCACACAATCTCATCCAAGCACAAGCAAATCTTCCCGTATTTGTCAAGAAAAAGGCGCTCAGTTGGAGGTTTCCCACATACATCCTTTAGGGCTGAGGTTATAACAAAGATAGCTTCTGCCACTGTTAAAAAGAACCAAGATTAAGCCAAAAGTATGAAAGTAAATGTAATTAAATACCCTACAAGACTGTGGGCTACAAGCATGTAGCTCATATAGCCATCAATGGCAACAGGTCACACGATCTCAAAGAAAGGCATTGCAACCACATTCTTGATTATGAGATGCACGTGTTATGACGCAAACAGAAATGTATAGAATGATCACTTAACAATGTTTACAAACATATTGACCATGCAGCACAAGATTCCACAGAATATCTAAATTATATATGTTCTGATAAGCATATCCTTAGGTATTTAAAGGAAATTTCATTGTACCTGTCCTTTCTCAGTTCCCACATCTCAAAATAATTTCACAATCACAAACATCCAAAAGGAAATACTTACAGGCAAGTTCATCATACTCATCCTTGCCCACAACAAATATACTGACATCACCAAGCACTGTGTAAACAATAAAAACTGACCTGCATAATAGAACAATAACGTGAATACATTTTTGAACAGTATAGATTTGAACAGTATAGATATCACTCATAATCTTAGTTCTTCCTGCACAATCTATGGCTCTGCATTTTAAATCTTAAGGCCATTAGATAATAAACATAGACAGCGTGACTCATAAAATGCAACAAGCTTAAGTCTTCCACAAACTCGTTTAACTGCTTATTCTACAAAATCGTATAAAACACTTGAATTCTTTCACGTAAACAGAAATGAAAGCTAGTCCACAGTACTTAAAACACTAAGGAATAAAGTAGACCAATATAATGGACATAGCCCAGAAAATGAGGAGCACTGAATATAAATAGTTACTACACTCTGAGAATATTCTTGATTCAGAGGTGGTTGAAACTGTATATCCTCAGGGTCATTAAAATGCACTCATGCATAAAATCCTCTGTTTCAAGGTAACATGACTACAGAGAGAAATACAACAAAGTAACAAAAACAGAAATTGATATCGTAAATATTGCAAAATTATATTTTTAGGTCACTAAAGGTGAGAAAATGACATGGTATGAGTACCACATGAATATATGATAAGCATTAATCTTAGAACATTTCCTTTTTCCCATATGACAAAAACTAAACAAGCGTTTAATTGGCATATCAGAACACATTTACTTCCAACATTTAGCTTCTAATACTCTACTAATAAAATCTATTTCCAGAATTGTGAAAAGAGTTGAAGAATTATTCATTCACTCATTTAGAATAATGAAGCAACTTTTATATAACCCTGACAGCTATATTATAAATTTATATTATAAATAAAAGAGTGACGAAGCTAAAATATATTTAATCTTATGTATTTCTTCCTCCTCCATGATGACAAAACCAACCAAGGCCTCACTTATAATTTGGTTTTAGCAACCAAGACTACAAACAAATACCAATGGCACACACATGTATTAACATAATTTAGAGGTCATGTACAAACAGCACAAACTTCTTGTAGGGATATAGCATTCTATTTCAGCTCAATCACTTCAACCAGACCAGCTTTCAAAGGCACGGCATCCCCCTGTCCAACTCCAAAACTCTATGGTAGTGAATGGCAAATGTTCAGAACCAGATACAGTTGGTATTGCTATATGTTTATAATTGGAATTATGATGCAGAGTTTGAATACAAAATTATACATTTAAAAGAACGCAACCACGTGCCCAGCCATTAACAAACAAGCATAATATTTGAATATTCTAGCCCAGAAATTATATACAATAACCAAGTAAAATGGAGTAATAGCAAAACATACTTGTGGGATGCAACAAGAAGCTCCTCATTCTTGACACCTTTAAGATTATCAGCTCCGAGCTTCACTAAGAAAGACCGCCAATGCAAACGTTCCTCAGCCGGAACTCCATTGAAACTACATCGGCCGAACCCAAATAAATCTTAGAGTGTGTTTGATTGGCATATAAAATATCACCTAAAAAAGAAAATGTTTTCCTTCTTTTGTGGAAAATACAAACTACCTCCACCCAAGGAAAATATTTTCCTTAAAAACAAGGAAAATTAGACATATTTTCAAAAGTTAGAAAATATTTTTCATGGAAAAAATTAGCAATCAAATGACTCAAGTAAGAATTTGGATGGAAAACTGATATTTTTCACGAAAAATAAATGTTATCAAACACATCCCTAGGGTTCGATTACAAATAACACTTTTTTCACTCAATTACTTGAAGTAGTTCCATCACATCAAGTCAAATGTTGAAAAAAACAAAAATTAGTCCTCTAGCAGTTATTGAGTGTTCGGTTATTATTATTAGTGACATTTTAGGAGGAATAATATTGGATCTCACGAAATGTATGGTAAATAAATAGGTGGTACTTGTAAATGTGTTGTTGAAATTAATGTTTAACTTTGACAAAATACAAAAGTTGAATGTTTGACATAAGTTCACCTCAAATCTTTTCCTTAGATCATTAAAAGTTAACTAGCTACATAAAGCTTGATTGATCAAAATACCAGCTCTTTTTAATAATTGTAACTCAGATCGAGTGGTAATAAACCTTAAATTGACGTAAATTTGAACTCATTTACAAAATGTAGTGAATTCATAACATTTGATCTTTATTTCTTAAATTCTCAAAATTCAAAAACTCTCACGTCTTAATCTTAAATTTTCAGAATGGAGTTCTTGAATTTAATCTTAATTATTAAATTTCTAAGCAGGACACGTTAATCTTAAAATTCTAGATCTTTATATGGACTAATTTATTTATTCTCAACATACAATCTTAAAGTTAGAGTGACCCAATTCAATTTTTGAGAGAAAGAAACTATATTCTACAGAATGAACTGAAAATTGAAAAAATCAAGAATCAAACCGCCCAGATCGTGAAACAAAGTGGAGCAGTGATAGAATTGAAAATCGGAATGTAAAAATTTTGTGTAATAAACTTGCGGGTGTAAGGATTAATATATGGAATAATTTTACCGTTCAACGAGAATATTGCCTTCAGAATTGGCGATCAAGACAGCGAGCAGCATTTTCGTTCGACGAGAATGTCCAGCGCTGGGCAAGTTTCACACACTAATCACGACTTCAGCGGATGTTACCGTGAAACCGTGTATAAGTATCCCACGACTTTTGTTGGGATTCTTGTTCCAATCTGTAGCGGAATCATAATTCACATTTGACAGTGACTAGCAATCACACATTTCATTACTTTTATTAAAATATACTAAAAATTTAATTTTAATTCCAATTAGTGGATAAAATTTTCAATTGGTCATTAGAATGAGCCCCTGTTTGGCCCCCATTTTCGGTAATAAAAATGGGGGGAATAGTGTTTTGTTGAAAAAATGAGTGGTTAAAAAAGAATGAAAAATTTTCGATTTACATGTAATATTATTTTATGGAAGATTATGTGGTTAAAAATAGGAGAGAGAAAAATAGAATGTAATGAGATGTAATTTAATGGGGATCAAACAAGGGCTGAATTTTTATTTTATTTTATAGTGACCGTCAATCTTCTCTTAAATCATAATTATATAATACTGTGATAAGTAACAAAGTATATTAAAGTGTATCGTTCTCTCGTACTAGTTATGTCCTATCAATTCCACCCCCCAACATAGCTTCAAATTAAACTAATGTGGATCCCAATTAACAATTTGGTGAAGTTTAACACTGAATTTTATACTAAATTATATCTAACAAATTAAACGCTTGAAGTACCTTGCAGAAAACTTACGGGATTAGGTAGTGAGGAGTTTTGGTTTCACTTAGGTCAACTAGAATTCATTTAATTAAATATGTTATAACTCATTTTCATATGTGTACATTAACAATCAATTTTCCAATTTTAACTAGTGATATATCTCGAGTAAAACTAGTCCTATTATATGTCCAATTTTACTATATTTCTTCGTAAATTTCAACACAAGCGCATTATTTCACAGAAACTCAATCAAGATTGGACAACCATGAGAGTATATCTCGATTTCTTATCAAAAGATATTTCACTTGTTGTGCGAGCTAGACAAATATACGCTTCTCACTATCAATAATGTTCCTAAATTAATTGATTGATGATAAGCTATTGAATTTAATTAAGCATGCAATTGAATCCAAAAGATTTGTATTTCAACTTATGATTTGAATTGAAAAACACACTTGGCCGGGAGATGTACAAGTTTTGAAGAAGAGATCACTGTTGAAAATTGGATGTCAAAGAACAATAACTGCTACGATTTTTAATTCTTCGTATTGAACCCAGTGATGTTTTTAATCATTTTGTTACTTAATTCCAATATAATAATTCACTAAATAATTGATTGTTAGAATGATTGATTTAGCTTAGGTTTAAATAGTTTATCTAATTCAATTGAGGAAGATGCTTCACTTACAGAAAAAGTTATACAGATATTTTACATAATAGACACAATAGTGGGGTCCATTCCAATAAAATATTCACATGGGGTCCATCCCATGTGTCTATCTTGTAGAATTTCTGTGGAAAATTTTTTGTACAAAGGGCATTTTTTTCGATTGATATCATGCAATTTCGATTGTGTTAATTACTTATTGTATATTTAGCCTCTGTCTGTTTCTGATTTTTTACATGCTTTTTTCCTCTTTTTTGACCACATCTTTGTTGACTTTCTACTCACATGGGACTTATATCACTTTGGCAATGGTACAAAAATTGCTCAGAATTTGGGAAAAAGGAGTTTCGAGACACGCACTTAATTGACATTCAATTTTATGATTCCTGATTGTTTGATTTAATAATACTATAGAGATCGAGATTAAATATATTTATTTAATTTGTGTAATAAGTGTCATAGGTTTTATAAGAGATGGATAGATGATTATAACCTTTGCAACCTTGATTGAGTTCATGTAATTTAATACTTTTACGTGTGTATGAATTTATTTAGAGATACAATAAGTTCAAGTATGCGAATATGACTAATTTTTGCTTGAGAGACTACTAGCTTGAATTGGTTAATTTGGTTTTTAATACGTATGAAAAAAGGACCGAATGAATTTTTGTTGAATGAATGTTAACTGACATATGTAAAATCAAAATTTCGAACAACTTAATCCCAAAATCTCTCCACAAATTAGATAGGTTTAGATTAATATAGTTAAAATCCTAATTTGATAGGATAATTAGTTACAACAGCAATTTGGATTAAGCTAGATTAGGATAAAAATTGATAGTGAGTATTTAGTCTATGTGGAACGATGTTCAAACTCGATCATCCACTTTAATTTGTTAGGATCTTTACACTTACGACATCACATGATTATGACAAAAAAAAAAAAAAAAAAAACACCACCACATTCTATTGATTTCTAAAAATTAAAGGAATTGACAATCAAAACTTGTTAATTTACGAAAGAATACCACCAATCCATATTGATCAACAAAATTGAATACTGAGATGAATCAAGAAATTGGATAGAAATTACGACTTTATTAAATTTTAATAAAGAAAAAAGAAAAATCAACCTCGTTAGTGTCATAGAGATGGAGTCAATGTGAAGTCTAGCCCCATTACCAATCGTGCAAAGTGTAAACCTTTCATCATTGGCTACTATCTAAAGAATGAAGAGGCCACTACTCGGTTTCCATAAAACCTATTTTAGAAGATAAATTCTACCCTAATTATGTACATCATCATTTACACTATACTTATATAAAGTATCATAATTATTTAAATAAATTTTGAGATCGCTTAAGCCCGCATGCTTTATGTCTTCAAAAATATTGTATCCTGTTGACCTCCTATATCTCATAAAAATATTGATCTAAAGAGGAAATTGTTACTATATATGAAACACATTTATAATGTGTTTATCTCATTAATTTTAGATATCAAATTCTTTAGAAAATTATTACTATTAAGAAATTTATAAATTATTTGTTACACCAATTTTAGATATTGTATTAAACATCACAAAATAACTGCAAACAAATAATAATAATAATACAAAATAATAGGTCTACAATAAATTAAATGATCTCACACTGTTGGCCAAGATAAAGCCTACTGAATATTATCTAAAACCTTATAACAAATATAAAATTGAAATGCAGAACAAAATTGAATCTTAGTCTATTTGTGAATACTCATCGTATTTCCTTCTTAAATAACTAAGGCAGTGGCTGCCGAAGGTGCTAGTTCTTGCCTTCCCAGTCGAGAGTTATGTTTGCTGCTCCAGTTGTGACGGCGTTGCCTATGGCATTGTCATCACTGCATGCATCATAGGAGGACCTTGGTATTCGAAGGAGGTCGTGTTGGTTGATCATGAAGTTAACCACTGAAAAAGCATGGCATAAAAATATTAAAGAAATCGAGACTAAAATAGTATAGATCGAAAAATCGGGGAAAAATAAACTAGCTACAATTATGGATTAGCATGCTAGCATATATCAAAACATTAGACACGTTACACAAACAAACATACTTATATAAAAGAAAATGATAAAAATGCATATTGTCTATGTCGATGCATGCAAATTACTACTATCAAATTAGGGTGTCAAGGGCAAATTCACATCCCTTAGACACAACGATACTAATAAATTTATTAAGTTTTTTGGACTACTTTTCTTAAGGTTTACATTTTAAGATGGAACCCGAATGTTGATGGAAAAACGATGTCGCCAGCTATGAAGGTTTAATCGGAAGCCCAATTGGCGTATGAGAATAAGTTATTTTGGGGTATGTCCCAACCTACTCCATCTCCAACAGTATCGCTAGGAAAACAACCCTATTGGCATACCTATCCATCTCTCTCAAACTCTAGTTTTTGGTGTTACAAATAGTAATTTTCAATTTAATGTGAAAATTGCTACTGATATATGGGAATCTACTTGTGATTGCCATGTCGTTCTATCTGTTAGCTATATATGAAATAAGAAGATGAATACAATGCAATAAATTTATCGACAGCAAGGCGGCGTGCGCGGTGCATCTGTCACTGAAACAGACTACTGAGTGGTGAGTGGTGAGTGGCGACGGCGGATAGGAAAAATCGGGAATCGTCGAAGCGCAATCGGCCATCGTGCATGGCTCTATTAGCTTCACTAATGGCATCATCACAATGCCGCTTGTGACGTATTCCAACGATGTCATTTGATGTGCCAGCATTTTTTGACAGAAAATTTCATGTGGGAAGAAAATCGAAAGAGAGGAAAAGGGCAACAAGACGTGTGCTGTGTGGTGTGCAAACGATCGCTGCTAGAGAAAGAGATACTGGCATTTGAAGGGAGGAGTTTGGTTTATGGGAAAATTTCATAATCCATAGATTAATTATGCTATATTTCAGTTTTAAGATTATAAGTTTGTAATTTCAAAACTAAGAGAGAGAGAGAGAGAGAGAGAGAGAGAGGATTTTGTTGCAATTAAATCCCTAAAATCAAGCATCCAATTTCCATATTTGAACAAACTCCTTAAAATACATATTTACATCCCTAACCCATACAATTATTCACGCAAAAATAAAAGACAATTATTATGACAGTTGAGGAAAAAATTACAGATTTAATGATTGAATTAATATCCGATTTATTCAATTTTGTCATACATAAGGTCACATATCTATATATTTAGTCACAGATTCATAATTTAATTAATCATATATTATTTTCCGATCACATATCATAATTTTTGAATATCACAAGTTATTTTACGGTCACAATTCAAAATATTTACAAGTTACAATTTGTTCATCGGTTACAGATCGAAAATTAATACTTCACAAGTTATGTATTGATCACAGATCGAAAATATTATAGGTAACAACTTATTAGATGGTCACAAATTAATATTTTTTAGGTCACCTTGGTCACAATTTATCTTTTTCAATGGTCTCTATTGGTCAAAGATAAATCAATTTAATGGTTATAATCAACTAAATAATCTGTGACCACATCAACACTTGTGACAACCTATGCTTTCAACAGTATCGCCGCCAGAACCACCATTGCCACCCTACAGCAACTTCATGGGACAAAACCGCCACAGCAAGCAAAACACTACCGGCCATCCCTCACTATTGTAACCACCAGATCGCGTCTCCCATGCCATCCCACACACAAACCACCATCCACAACCACCATCGTCCTCCTCCAGCCCAATGCTAGAACCAAATCGAGAACTCATCCAACA